GCGAATTCGTAAAATAATATTACTAAATAAGGGGCTTGCGATAGACTTATCTCCACGTGGTGCACCCTGGGCAGCGTATACTCATACGGCAAAAGTCTATTAACTGGGAGTTGACTTCTGACTTCAAACTACCCTCACCCCATTGTATGTCATATTCGATTACTTCCACAGTACTCACCTCACCTTTTTCCACTTTTGTTTCTGTCTCTTTTACATCTTTGAAACTCTCTTCTGTTCCCCCTCTCCCTCTCGACTTGTTTCACTTTGATGTTCCTCCTCCTCTGTGAAGCCTGAAGTCAACTAAAGGGCTAACGGTAACTTTCACAACGCCTGCCATTTGATATAAATAAATATTACTAAATAAATATTGAAGATTGGTGACAACAAAAGCCATTTATTCGATTTTTCACTTGAGGAATCTAGAGCACTGACTTAGGGTGAGAACGAAGTTATTACCAACTTGAATTTTGATCCGAGGTGTTGACGAAAATTTAAGTCGGGTATTTCAACAAGAGAGAGGTGAAGTCGTTACACTATATTTGTGACCATAATGAGTAGTGCAAAGCACAAGAACCTCTTGATGTGCCTGTAAATGAATCTAATAAAACAAGTCAAGTGATTATGAAATTTTATCTAAATTTCAGAGAGCTGCTATGAAACTCTAGGTCATTGTTCTTTCAAGAAACAATATTCATACGAGAGCCAGTTTAAGGTATCTTGGCTGTTAAGAGCTCTGTTGGAGAGACTATCAAAGCTTGGAAAGTAGATGAAAGTTTGGTGCTTCCACTAATTTTCATTTAAAATTTTCCCATCAATAAGGATTCACAGCATGTCATAGAAAGAAATCTTAATTTATACCTTCGAGCGTTCTTTTACACTTACGCAAGTCATCAAGATTTAAGGATTCCAAAAAATGTAATAGGAGTAAAACTTCATCATTTAATGAAAGACAAAAATAAGATACATATATCAGATGTAATGATAAAGCAAACTGCGAAAGAACTTTGTTCCACTATGGACAAACCATGGTAGTGTTCTACGTTATTCAGCATTCAATGTGTCCACGCATGATTTATTTAAGATTTTCGATTTATTTTGCCTCAATATGTTAATAATTCATGCTTTGGCAAATTAAATTTATTTTATTAAAGTTACAGTGTATGGTTAATACTACTTTGAAATGAAATCGGTTACAATAATCAGCAATTTAAATTTTGAGAAAAAGTTATTTGACTTACCCTGAACATACTATTCTTTGAGGAGAGATTTCCCTTCCAAGTGTTTGTTAAGAAGTCCTGGCAACATGGATGGGCCATAAACTTGATACTCTGCCCTTCAGCAGCTAGTTTGATAACCGAACTATGCCCATAGTAGGCTAATTCGTGGTTGATTATTAATTGAGCACGGTGCTCATCTTCACGATAGCATTCGTTTAAGACACCTTCGGCTTTTTCCTGGAAGCTTCTGTTAAAATTAAGCATATTCATTCGTAGTATGTTAAGACTGGTAGGGGTAACGCAATAACCTTACTTTTGTTTAGAAATGGCCTCAATAATGGACTTACTTGGAGTAGTTTTTGTAATCTTCTTTGTCCGTAAAGTCGTCTGTTTTGTTACTCAACGCAGACAACAGAATAGAGGCCAGTAAGGCCGCTGCAATAGGTTCCTATGGTTATGTGAAACGTTTTAAAAGAAAGCAAACAACTGAGAATGCAAGCAAATAGTCAAAGAGAGGAGATAGAAGTGAAAAAAAATGAGTTCTAATCATTTTTTCATTCTCACCTTTTCCATAGTCCAGAAGAGCTCTGACATGCGTAATTTGCCCACCAGGACTGACCATATTAAAAGTTCTCGTGCCGGTCTGTCAAATTGTATCAATTTAATCCGAGCCTCTTCTATAATTAAACATTGATAAAAACCTCGTTACTGAATTTTTAAACAAGATACGACTAATATAGTCAAGTCGAGAAACTTAAAATCGATGGACATGTTAATGGAAAACAGAGTCGTTTGCTTCTCATGGAGATACATATGAGTTGAAATCCTACATTTCTGGAAGAATTTTAAGCACAGCTTTTAATAAGCACCTTATAGAATAAGAGTTAGTAAAGATAAAAAACCCTTGTTCAACAGACAAAGATGTTTAATTTAGCCAAAACACTTAAACTGTTCAACCAAAATTTATAACAAGCACCATGATTCAATATTTTACATCGGGGTGTGCGATAGACTTACCTCCACGTGGTGCACCCTGGGCAACGTATACTCATACGGCAAAAAATTCTATTAACCGGCATTTGACTCCTGACTTCAAAATACCATGGCCCGACTGCTTGCCATATTTGACCCCTTCCACAGTACTCATTTTACCTTTTTCCCTACCTTTGTGTCTGTCTGCCTCTTTTACATCTGTGAATCGCTCTTCTGTTCCCCACCCCTCGACTTTCTGCTACTTTGATGAACCTTCCTTCTGTGAAGCCCGAAGTCAGCTAAATGGTTAATGATAGCTATCAAAACGCCTGCCATTTGAAATAAATAAATATATTTTACATCAGCTGAATCTAATTAAAGTGGGGTTTACTCAGAACCAAACTGAATAACGGAATAGTCTCATTAGCCTCTGTGATACATTAATCAAGAGTTAATCC